CAGAACCTCGGACAGCTCATTTCAGAGCCGCTCGGCGCCCAGCAGCCTGAGACGGCCCCTTTCCCTCAGCACTTTCAGCACCTCGGACAGCTCCTTTCAGCCCCGCTCGCCACCTAGCGGCCTGAAACGGTTTCTTCCAGCTTTACCGACTGCTTTTGCTGTGACCCAGTTGTACTGGGAAGTGGGAATTTCCCACTTGCAAGTCATGAATTTAAACTGGAACACTCCTTCTAGTTTGAATTCCCTGTCAGGATGTGGGAGAGTTCAGAATTTAAGATGGCAGCTACACACCACAACTGAACAGTGAGTAAAACTCTCTTACTTTTACTTTTAAAAGTATTTAAGTATTATTTATTAAGCATATTGTCAGTTATACAGGTAGTACTTTTCAGTGTTCATAAGAGGACGTGTTAAAATGCTGTTTCTATGCAGGAAATACCAGGTAGAGCTCTACACGAACCATCAAAGTTAATTCCATTATGSTCATGTGGCTCTTATGTAAACTCACTCTCTCCTGCTGTAAGGKTTACTTTGTGTGAGTTTAGTTGAARTCCTTCARCTGGCTCATGAGATATTTTGCTAACACTGCAGACAAATACACACTTACTGTATGCTTTACATTAACACCATGACACCRCACAGGAAGTGGAGACACATTTTCYACACAATAAAKKAGAGGACTTAGTCCCTGAAGCTCGGCTCATTGTGGTGATTCATTCTCCAACCAACTGAATAATCAATGAACATTTTCAAACACTCAGCCTCTCTGCGTGTTTGGAGYGAGCAGCTTCTTCAAACCTTGAGCAGAAGAGTGCCAAAAAAATAAATAAATAAAAACTCTGGCTACGGCAAGATGAAGCTCATTAGGCACACAGAGGACAGCTACAGGAATAGTCATGACAGATTATTGATGAAGTGATTTCACACTCGGCCTACGTCAGGATGGGGGGGGGGGTGATAACAACCCTGAGGTGACTCACATGAAGCGCAGCTCYGACTCTCTGCGCACCAGGACCTCCCGCAGGCGCTGGATGCGAGTCATCTCCACCTCRATCTCCTCTGGAGACATGGTGCTCTCCGCCATGGACACGTCCGAGTGACCTGAGACGCACCGGAGGGAGGACAGACGTGAGAATAATCCAATGAAACACATGAAGAAGAAAAAGAACTGGAAATCTGTCATAAATACTTTTTTTAATCTTCCTGTCAACATTATTGTTTTTGAATTTTTTATGTGTGACCTGTCAGTCCGTTAGCAAAATTTTCATGAATCACTGGACAGATTTTAATGTAGATCTGCAGCTGGTTCTTTTTGTGATAACTTTACAATAAGGTRCACAAAAATTGCTTAACAATTGAGGAACTACTTGGTAACTACTAAGTAGTTACTGAGGACACCAAAGAGGAACTACTAAGTATTTATTCATTACTTACTCAGTGACTGGCCTTTAACTACTGTTTCTGTGTACCCTAGAGTGAGGTATCTTCCCTAGTTCCTCTGGTGACTTTAGTAACTACTCAGTAGTTAATGAGTAGTACGAAGTCTYTTCTAAGTACTCAGTAGTTCCTGAGTAGTTCCACTTTTTTGTGCTTAGTAACTACTCAATAACTACTTAGTAATTACACAGTAGTTCCACTTTGGTGTCCTTAAAATCTACTTAATAGTTACTGAGTAGTTAATAAGTCTTTCTACCTACTCCATAGTTTCTGAGTAGTTCCTCTTTTGTGTTTTTAGTAATTACTTAATAACTACTCAATAACCACTCAGTAACTACTCAACAGTAACTACTCAGTAATAATTACTTAATAACCACTCAATAACTACTCAGTAACTACTCAATAACTAGTCAGTAACTACTCAGTAATTACTTAATAACTACTCAATACCTACTCAGTAACTACTCAATAACTACTAAGTAACTACTCAGTAATTACTTAATAAC